TGAGTGCATGACATGTGAGTATACAAGTCAGAATGAAGGAATAAAGGAGAAAGTAAAAAACTTCAATGAGATTGAGTTTCAAGAAGTTGGAATTGATTTACCGGTGTTTCACGATGATACAATTTTTAAGCGCTTTGGAAATAATAATTCTTCACACCGAAAGCGAAAAACACGTTTAAGAAGTGATAGTGATGATTGTGACGACTCTTTTAAGAAAGGTTTCAAAACAAAAAAGTGCTATCATAAATGGTAATTATTTAATTATTAAATGTAATACTAATTTCTAAATTGACTCATAGATTTCATAGATATATATAGACATAGACTACATAGATATAGGGAGTTTAAATTATTTTTAGAAAAAGACAGAGAAAAGCTTTTAAATTTTTTCCATTTCAGCAGAATTATTTTCTTTGGATGAGTTAATTCAAGCTCCGAGCATAACATATCCAATATCAAATGCTAGTAAGTTTGTGTCATTCAATTATTTAAAAGTTTTAAACATCAATTGAATTAGAAAGTTGATTTATTTTATGTTTTATTAAATTTATTTATTGCGAGAGAAATTGATAAATTTAAATAGTAGGGAGCTCAATTTATTTGGTATTCCAAATAAATTGAATAAATATTCCAAAATCCAAGTTTTAATACTAAATAAGTTGAGAATATTGTTTGAAATGTGTCTAAATATTTTGAAGTTTATTCTAATTTTTAATGATAAATAGAAAAAGAAAAAAAAAAACAATTTTTTTTTTAGGTTTTCAACAACAAGTTCTTGCATTTCAAGAAAAATTTGTTAAGTGGATGAGAGATAAATCAAATTGTTTATCTTTACCGACGACTTCAATTGCTCAACAAACTTCAGTTATTTGATTTTGAGTGTGTTTAATCAAAAGAGGAGTTTTTTCTGTATGAAGAAATTATGAACGCGGATTCATTCGTCGATTCATTCGAAGAAGAAAAAAAAGATTATTTAATATATCAGAGTTATTTAATATGTTGGTACACACACATGTATGCGTGTTAGGGCTCTAAAATACTGCTAGTTAAATACAAATTTTACTTCTTAGATTGTACAACTAAAGCAAATAGGAGGGCTTGACTATAAAAATACAATAAATGAACATGAATGGTACCGGAGGCCAAAATAAATTAGCTTTTGGAGGAACCGAGACCTACAAAACAGTTTACATAGTAGTCATGCTCAAGTTCCCAAAGATGACGGAAAAAGAATTTCATCAAGTGGTTTAGAGCCTCCTTCGAAATGCCGCTGCTTGAATAAAAAAGAAAGCAGTCGTATAAAAAATGACAATATAATTGTATATTTTATTGAAGATAAAGTTTCTTTTAAAATTTAGTTATTAATAATCTTAAACATAAAAAAAATCCAAATTTGATTTTAAATATAGTTTATGTGTCGAATCAGCTTTATTAACATTCCTACTGCATCTTTCAAAGACGTAAAAGATGTATTTTACATTTATAGTTTATTTATATGCATTATATTATTATTTTTTTAATATTTTAAGTTATTATATATATATAAATATATTATATGTATATATGAATATATATATAAAATTCTTATTATAGTTATTTTTAATGTTAATATTATTTTAAGAGTGCCTGCAAATTTGAATCCCTGGTGGGAAGAATCAACAGGTTTTTTTACTTACAACATAGTGTTAACATAAAAAATATTTTGTTGCTAGCAGGGGAACCAGGAAATTCTTTTTATAGTTTTTAAAAGAGTTTTTTGTCTTTTAGAAATTTTCTTGGCCCACTTGTCCTGTTTGGCCTTGTGGGTAAATTTGACTTGTTAAGTATAACCGAGCCGGAACAAGTTGTACAAGAAGGAAAGGCACACAACAGAAGAAAAAAAGGTAGACAAGAAAATTAGAAGGTTATTTATTGCAAGAGAAATTGATAAAATTAAATAGTCGGGAATTTATTTGATATTTAATGGTATATACTAAATTTGAATATAAAATAAATTGAGAATGTTGTATGAATTGTCTCAAAATCGCTTGAACTGTATAATATAATTTTTAATGATAAAAAGTATATTAAATGTTTTTTAGGTTTTCAACAACAAGTTCATGGCATTCCAAAAAAGTTGTTAAATGGATGAGCGATATATTCAACAATTTGTCTTTACCAACAACTTGAAATTCTCAACAACCTCCAGTATCTTTATTTGACATTGAGAGTATAAAATGGAAAGAGAAGTTTATCCTGTTTGAAGAAAGTATTAAAATGGATTCATTGCTCGAACAAAAAGTAAAATTAGTTTAATATGCTGGTATTATTATTTGTATCAAATAATGGTGCTTGCTTATAGTTAATTTATTTTATATAATTATATATGTGTGCGTGTTAAAGCTCTTAGATACTTGTAGTTTAATGTGACTTTTACTTCTTAGATTGTAAAACAAAAGGGCTTGATTACAAAGGTACGATCAAATACATAATGAAAATATTTGCCATGCGTGAAATAAAGGGTACCGGAAGTCGAAATAAGTTAGCTTTTGGGTGAACCGAGAATTACAAAACAGTACATGAAATAGTGACGTTTAAGTTCCCGAAAGAGACGAAAAATGAGTTTTATCAAGCTATTCAGAACCTACTTAGAAATGCCCCTGCACGAGCAAAAAAGAGAGCTGTATAAAAATGGCACAGGGTTCATGGCACTCAGGGAAAACCTGGAAAACCAGGGAAAAGTTTTAAAAATTTAGAAAATCAGGGAATACCTGGAAAAGTCAGGGAAAATTTGTTAAAAATCTGTAAAATCAGGGAAAACTCAGGGAATCTTGTTCAGTATTATATTTAGCTTGAATTTATTTTGCAAAATACACATTTTGAGTGTTTATTGTTGTTGAAAATTGCTCACTAAAGTGTTTTTTTAACTTTTATATTATATAGTAACTATATGTTTAGCTAAATGTATAAATAAATATAATAATATAAGACATGACTTCAGAAAAGACTTATTTTCAAGAGGATTGGTTACAACAAGATATTTATAAAGATTGGTTAGTTCCCAACGCACATGCAAAAACTAAAGCTTATTACAAAAAATGTAAAAAATCATTTGAATTGTCCAATATGGGTATTCAGGCTGTTAAAAGTCATGCAGCAGGTATTTACATTAACTTTTTTAACGTGAGAGTGAGAATTAAAAAAAAAAAATGTTGCTTGATTGATTCATTATTTTATATTTTAATATCAGTTTCAAACACATTGTAATCAACTTTTGATTGCAACCTGTTTCAGTTGTTTTTCTTGTTGGTTGGTTGCTTATATTGTAATTTCAAACTTTGCAAGCTAAACAGATTGAGAAAAAAGATAAAAAATTTTAGACATTTTAAATGTTTTATTATTTATTTATCTTGTTTTAGGTAAGAAGCATCAGTCTGCTACAAAGCCTGTTAGTTGTTTCTTTATTAATGGAAAAGAGTTGCATGCTGAACCACTTGGAAGTGAGGAAAAAATATCCACATTTTTCACCAAAAAACAAGCAACTATTGTCTTTTTAATTAAATCATCGTTATCAACTAATGCTGAGATCATATGGGCCCTGAAATCTACAATGAGCTGCTACTCTAATAACTCATGTGCAAATTTAAAGACACTTTTAAAAAGATGTTTCCTGATAGCAAGGTAGCAGAAGATTTCACTATGAACACCTCAAAAGTATCATACATTGTTAACCATGGACTAGCCCCATACTTCAAGACACTTTTAAAAGAAGAAATCACAAAGTCTGATTGTTACATTGTATCTTTTGATGAGAGTTTAAACGACATAACCCAAACTTGTCAGATGGATCTACTTGTTCGGTATTGGGATGGCAATGACAAAGTTAAAGTGAGATATTGGACATCAGCATTTCTTGGTCATTCTGCAGCTTCTGACCTTCTTACACATTTCAACGAAAACTTATCAAGATTTGATTCAAGTAAAATGTATCAAGTTTCCATGGATGGACCCTCTACGAATCTGAAATTTCTAGATGATCTTAATAAACACAGAAAGGACAATGAGATGCCACAACTTATAAATATTGGAAGTTGCTCTTTGCATGTAATCCATGGTGCTTTTAAAACAGCTATCGAATCAACAGCATGGAATATTAAAGAAACTTTAAAAGGGTGTTGGCAAATTCTTCATGATAGCCCAGCTAGACGTCAAGATTATGAAACAGTCACAGGTGCAACAAAATACCTTCTTTTTTTTTGCAGAACAAGATGGGTTGAAAGTAATTCTGTTGCAGATCGTTGCATTGAAATCTGGCCTAATATATGTAAGTTGATTGAGTTTTGGGAAAAGTTACCATCTTCGAAACAACCTAAATCTCGAAGCTTTTTAAATGTAAAAAAGGCTGTTAAAGACAAACTTATTATTTTAAAATTTGAAGTTTTCAGCTTTGTTGCAAGCATATTAGAGCCATATTTGTTGGCATACCAAACTGACAAACCAATGATTCCATTCATGTATAGTGACTTAGAAAAACTGTTACGAACCATACTAAGCTTGTTTGTGAAACAAAATGTTATTGATAATAGTTGTATTTCAGTACAACTAAAAGAAGTTGATTTTCATAAAAAAGATAATCTACTTAAAGGAAATCAAATCAAACTAGGGTTTGCAGCTGAAACAAGACTGGCTGCTTTACGAAAGAAAGATATAATAACCATTGCTGATATTCAAAGTTTTCACAAAGATTGCACTAACATGTATGTTCAATTAATTGAAAAGTTCATGGACCGAACTCCGCTAGGATCTATCATTGTACGCAACTCTCAGGTTTTTAACCCAAATGCAATGGTAGTAATGACTCAAGAAGATGCTGAGAAGAAGTGTAAATCTTTATTGACCCACTTGATTAGCTTGAAATATGTTTCACCAATCTTTTCTGATAAAGCTATAAATCAATTTGCAGATTTCTTTAGAGAATCAAGAGTTTATCAAGACATCTTTCATGAGTTCAATCGAGAAAGAGATAGCTTAGATGACTTCTATTTTAAAAAATTTAACCTAAATAAATATAAAGAGTTTGCATTGACTGTTAAAATATTATTAACACTAAGCCATGGACAAGCCTCAGTTGAGAGAGGTTTTAGTATAAATGCCACAGTACTAGAACAGAATTTAAATGAAAAATCAATAACTGCAAGACGTTTAGTCAAAGATCATATGCTATCAAATAATCTTCAGCCACATAGTATTGAAATTACTAGCAAAATGATCATCAGCAGGAAATCGGCACACGAAAGATATAGAAGCTACCTAAATTCAATCGCAGATACTAACAAAAAAGAAGCAAGTCAATTGGCAAAAAAAGTTGTTAGCGATGAAATAAAAGATGTTGAAACAAGGCGAGATCAACTGAAGAAAACCAGTGAAATGTTGCAGTTTGATTTTGTAAAATTTGTTGAGGAAGCAGAGGAGAAGCAAGATCTAGGGTTAATTTCTAAAGCTAATGCGATGAAACGAAAAGCAAATGAAAAAAATGAAGAAATAAAGAAATTAGAGCTAGCACTTTGCATCTTAGAGCAAAAAAGAAAAATGCTAAAATAATATATTCGTTCTCACATGAAGTTTATATTTTGTTAACAAAACACATTAGTTTTTTCAAAGCATATATAAAATGTTATTATTTTAATATTTCTTTTAGTTATCAGATTAATATGGCTTTGTTTCTTGTTTAAAACACCTTTAACAGATTGCTATAAATTAATTAAAGACAGTCTCTGGTTTCTTAAAAAATAGTGATAAAAAGTATTTAGGGAACAAGGATTCAGTTGCAATAGTATTATATTTTTCAACATTGATAGGCAAAATATTTAGACTTTTCACCGCACGAACTCAGGGAAAAAATACTTGAAAATCAGGGAAAATCAGGGAAAACTCAGGGAAAATGGTTTTTCAAAACTGCCATGAACCATGTGGCAGTTGTATACACAAATTTGTTTAATGTTTTATTGAAGATATATAATCTTGTTTATGTTTTGGTTATGAGTTATCTTAAACGTATAAAAATAACTCAAATATAATAAACTATAACTTTAAATATAATTTAAGTGCTGAATATATTGAGAGAACGTCTATTAGACGTCTTAAAGGTGTTAACAAATAGACGTCTCAAAACGTTCTTTAAACGCTGAGGCGAATTTTTAATCAGATGTCTTAGAGACATCTAATACTAGACCTCTTATAGACGTCTAACACAGTACGTCTTACAGACGTCTAAACGATACGTCTTAAATGTCTTGAAATGTGTTAACAAGTAGACGTCTTAAGACGTACTTGAGACGCTGACTTAAGTTACCGTTAGACGTCTAATAGACGTCTTTGTGCCGGCTGGGGAACCTCGATCGGCAAATCAAGATTTTTATTTATTTTTTCATACATTTTTTTATTTTTCTTTCATGTATTTCTTAGGATTATTTATTTAATTATTTATTTATTTTTCTTCAATTTTTTAGCGTATATAGTTTTACTTATTACTTTTTGTTAGTCATTTGTTTGTTTTTTAGTTATTATTTATTTTTAGTGGTATATAAATTTTTTATACAGTTATATAATATTTGTTTTTATTTTCATTTTAGCCATTTATTTTAGCCGTTTAATTCTACCGTGTATTATTATTATTTTTTTTAATTTTTTTTGCATAGTTTTTTAGTTACTTTATTATTATTGTTATTATTATTATATAAGATTATTATTATTACTATATATATAAATTATTTTATATAAATAATATATATATAAAGTATATATATAAATTATTATTTTTTAGGTATTTACTTGAAATTAATACTTTAATACTATTTGTAAATAGCCTTGAAAATTTATTTTTTTTGAATATATATGATTGATTGGTTGATTGATTGATTAAACAAACTTGATGTCATAATTTTTGCAGATGATACTAGTTTATTTTACTCATCGCCGTCAATTACAGAACTTTTTGAAACAACAAGTGTTGTACTCGAAAAACTTAATATTTGGCTAAAATCTAATAAACTATCTTTAAACACAGAAAAAACTAATTACATCTTATTCCATCCCAAACAAAAAAGAAAAAAACTACCAAATATGTTGCCATTGCTATAAATAGATAACAAAAATATCGAAAGAACCACAACAACTAAATTTCTAGATTACTTATTGATGAAAATATTTCATGGAAAGCACATATTGACTATTTAAATACTAAAATAACCAAAAACATTGGCGTGCTATACAAAGCTAGACCAATGTTATCCCAAAAAAATCTAAAACGTCTTTATTTCTCATTTATACATACCTATTATACATATGGTAGTATAGCAAGGGCAAGTACTCATAAATCCAATTTGAAATCACTTTATCGATATTAAAAACATGCCTTTAGAATTGTTTATAAAAAAAGATTAACTCACTCAGGCTGAACCTTTGTTTAAACACCTAAATGCACTAAACGTCTATAGAATTTACCAAAACTTATTGTTCATGCTAAAATATAAACTCGGGCTTGTCCTATCACATTTCTTAAATGAATTAAAAGAGAAGTAGGAAACTTTAATATACCGTTCAGAAAAACAAAACTATCGCGTTTCGCAATTTCATATAGTGATCCCTATTTCTATAATAAACTGATATCAAAAAATGCCATAATTACAAAATTAGATAACATAAATTTTTTGAAAAAACTAAACTACTTAGGTCGTTAGAGAAGTTCGTAGAACTTTATCTATAAAGTTACAATAAAACAGGAAGTAATTATCATCTTAAACTGTGTTTAATTATGAACATTTTAAGTACTTGTTGAAATATTTTGAATGTTTATTTAAAGAGTTAATTAAATTTTATTATATACGTTTAAAAGAAAAAGTTTAAAAATGGAAAAACTTGAATATCGCCCGTATTTTAAAACTCGTGCTCTACTAGTTTCAGCACAAGCCATAACCGATGAATTGGTTTTAGTTCATGGTGACCAAGCTCCAAAATATAGTACAGTTGCCAAGTGGGCTACTTCATTTGAGAGAGTCTTGAAGATGATCCTCGCTCAGGTCACCCTAAAACCACGTATACAGCTGAGAATATTAAACGTGTGAAGCCATTATTAAAGAAAATCCGCATAAACACATGATATAATTGAAGCCTTGACATCAATTAATCGTTTTACAATTAAAGGAATCATTCACAGCGCACTTAAAAAAAGAAAGCTAACATCACGTTGGATATCCCACAAGTTAATCGATGAAAATCGAAAGAATAGAGTTAAGGCATGTAAGGAAAATTTAGCCCTTTTCAGAAACAGCCCATGGAGATATTGTTACAGGGGATGAGTCATGGTTTTATTTTAGACAAGTTGGACACAAGTCAGCTAACGCTAATTGGGTCGGTGAAGGTGAAAGTCCAAGAATTATAGTAAGATGCGATAGGTTTCAGCCGAAAAGCATGTTCTACATCTTCTTCAAAATAACAGGTGTTGTTCATTTGCGTTATGTTGAAAAGGGAGACACCAATACTAGCGAATATTATATAAAAAATTGTTTGAAACCTCTTATATGCGAATTAAATAAGCAAAGACCTAAAACGGGCGCTCACAATTTCAAATTTCTTCATGATAACGCTCGACCCCATGTAACTCAAACCGTCACAAATTGTTTAAACCAAGCTGGAATTACAATAATTTGCCACCCACCATACTCACCAGACTTAGCTCCAACCGATTATTGGCTATTCGACTTGATAAAAAAATCATGATGACAATACTGACGTCGAAAGCCAAAAAACTCGCATAACGAAGCTATTTAAAAGTATACCCAAAGAAGAGTATAAAAAAACGTTTCACAAATGGCTTGAAAGGATGCAACTTTGTATAGATAATGATGGACATTATTTTGAACATTTAATAAAATAAAATTAAAAAAAACTATTTTTTTTTTTATATATATATATCTACGAACTTTCCTAACGACTTAAGTAAAACTGAAACTAGAACCAAAATTAGCGTTGAAAACAAAATTCCAAAAAACTTCAATAATTTATATTTATATAAAAAAATCAATATAAATCAGTAATAATTGTATTTCTGCCTAATAATATATTTATGTGTATTATGTGTACTACAAACAGCATTTATCAACTTCTTTCCTTTTTTTTTAAACATTATATTATATGTGAATCCAATATAAAATGAAGTATTTTGTGAAACTAGAAATATTGTAAAACGAAAATACAAAAAATATTACAAGTATAAGCGGTTTCTTGATGACAAGACTATCTGGTCTTCTGCAAGTTTCCCGCGTTCTTTTAATATTAATAATACCTTGTAATTATATGTTTTGTATTCTATAAAATTGTGATATATATATATATATATATATATATATATATATATATATTTAATATCATATAATTTAAAAACATTATAACCTTGTACCAGTTATGTAGAATCACAATATTGTAAAGATAAAAGAACAAAAAAAAAAAAAAAATCCCGGTCAAAACGGAACGAATGGTAACACGGCCTATTTATATTAAATATAAAATTATAAAAATGGAGGAACAGAACTGATAAACCTTAGTAGCAAACTGACAAAACTAACATGCAACGAGTCACTTGTCTGGTGGTATAAATGTCCTAAAAATATATCATTCATTTAATTTTATTATGAAGAATACCGCATTTGGCATCATCAGTACAAAAAAAATAAAGTCTCTAGTCACGGCTTTTTTTAAGTGGACATACGGCTTCTTGCTATTTTTTAAATTATTCACTTGTTATTCACTGTAATAACTTTTGAAATATTACAGATAATTTTATTCTGTAAAAAGAGTATAAACGGTAATAAAATGCTTTATCGTTTAACTTTCAATAAAGTATCAAATTTTATTTTGATTTTTAAATTACGAGATTAGCTAATTTTGAAATGTTTAATGTTACATTTTAGCAAAGTTATTCATAAAAAATATACTTTTGTTGTTTAATATATAATATAAACATTGCTCGACCAATTTAAGAGCAAAAAATTTTATTTAAAATTATGGTCATAAGAAATAGATAGTCTGGCCACTTGCGGTATTCTTCTAATCAACTATTGTTAGCAATTTTTTAGTGTCCAGTCCACCGCAGAGTGCACAAATTTATTTTCTTTGAATGTTTTTTCCAAGTTCTGCTTGTTTTAATTGCATATTCTTCATCCAATTCTTTAAATGCCTGATGCTAATTGTTCTATTTTCGGATGCAGTACTTCTAGGAGGCATAAGGGAGTTTTAATATTTAAAATTCCTGCATCTAACGATAGTTTGAATACTTCTTAGAGAAAAAATCTAATAGCCATTATTCTTAAAGATCGTATTTAAGATATAAATTTGAAGGCTCAAATAGAAAGAAAGATTTTCTTTATTTGTGAAAAGCATTATCTTCCAGAAATGATACTTCATAACGATAACAGAAAGTCACTAAAACCTGGATCATTACCGACCATGTGTCTACTAAAAAAAAGTTTTGTGTCATCAATACCTATACAAAGAGAATCTGCATCTTTAATTGTAGCTAAAAGAAATGCTTCATTGATTTCAAATAGTATTATTACTTTTAAACTTATATATAAACCATACGAAGAGCTTCTAAATTGTATTAGCAAGTTATAATTTGTGACTGGACAGTGAGTGTGAATCCTGTTGTGGCAGAATTGAAACTTTATGACATAATCCACTTATATCTTTGATATAAAGTATATGTTGATGATAGTCTTGCTTTAACCATTTGTGTATATTTTTATTTTATTCCAGATGATCATTTAATATATACAAAATATAAAAGATCAATGCAACATATTTCAGCTTCATATCTTATTTGTGCTGTTACTTCGTTTAGCCTGTGTTCTGGAATAACTAATGTATTCGCATAAAGTCAAATCTGTATATTAAACAT